AATGCTTAAGGCCATGAAGAAAGAACCAGAAGATCGGCCTCAGGGCTCTAAGAGCCCGCACAACGGGTGAGTGTTTGACAGGCTTGACTTTCATCAAGTACTTGTGTTTTGTTTACTTAAACCCACTAATTAAGAATCTTCTTTGTCCTTTCTTTAGACTCAGGAAAGATAGTAAGTTAGGTCACAACAGTAGAAGTGCGAGTCGTTCCCGGTCCAGATCGCGCTCTCCCAGACGACAGTAAGTACCACTTGCAGTACACCGCTCTATACTCAATGATGTTGGTGTCTATACTCAACCGTTTTTTCTTTTTAGTTACAATAACCGGCGCAGTCACTCAGGCACCTACAGCTCTCGCTCCCGGAGCCGCTCTCACAGCCGCAGCCCATCTCCACGACGACACGCCAACCACGGCCCTCCATCTCCCCTCCTGCCACACTTGAAGTCAAAGCAGCGCTCAGACGACCTGCACCAGCACAGCAGACACGGCCACAAGAGGAAACGCTCACGCAGCCGCTCTCGTTCCACCAGTAAGCCCCGTGAGCGGGACAGAGAGCGGGACCGGGATCGAGGTTCCTCGGACTTAGCGAAGAAGCACAAGCACGAGCGTAGCAGCGGAGGCCATCACCGCGACCGGCGGGAACGCTCGCGCTCATACGAACGCTCTCATAAAAGCAAACACCACAGCAGCAGCCATTCAAGCCACAGTCGTCACAGACGCTGAGTATTTTCCTGTTGCGTGACGTCTGTGTGACTGCGAGTGAGTTTGTGTTTGATTAAAGTGGTCAGTGTTGACCTAGTTGTCTGTTTAAATTCTTTTTTGATTTCTCTTGTGTTATTTTGGTGGTTTAGTTTTAAATGTTGAAAGGATATGAAATTACATATTTACAGTGTAAAGATGGGTTCAGTGTTGATGTAATATGGGAAATGCTTTGATTTATAAAAGCAACCTTTTTCAGAAGGTGGGAAAATCACTTGTTACATAGAAAAATTGAAAATGTTTTCAGGAAAGACACCGATACTTTGCACAGCTATAGAAATTAATTACAAACAAAAAAAAAAAGATGCTCTACTGGCAGAAGAAAATTGGTTTCTCTGAAAATAGATCATATTTTTTTACAACTGGATGCAGACTTTTTTTTT